TAATGAGAAAAAAAAACTCCCCCTTTTTTTTTTAATTAAAATGCCGATTTTGGGTCTATTTTTGTTGTTTTTAGGTTGTATTTCGTTTTTTGGTTCATTGATAGAATGGAAAAAAATATTAAGAAATAGAGGTGATTTTTGATTGATTTTACTATAAAAAGAACTAGAAATGGGTTCAAAGGGGAAATGTTTGATTTTTTGCCCAAATTTCAAAATAAAAAAAATGAGCCCTTGTCCCAAAATGTCCCCGCCCTTCTAAAATGCAGTAGAAAGGGGTTTATGTTATTTATAAAATTTTTTCAGTTTCAGTAGTCGGATAATAGTAATCTTCTATTTTTTGTTTTTAATAAAAAAATTTAAAATAGAAAACAAGGTTATTTAAGGGGGGCCCGGGGACAGACTGATGAAAAAAGAAAAAGTTGTTTTGAGCCCGGAATTGCATTGTTATTTGGACCTTATTTTGAAATTTTATATTTTTTTGTTTTGGAAAATTGGCCAAATTGCAAATTTCTGACCACATTATTAGGGTAGTTGAAATCGGGAAAGGGGGATTTTTTATCGTCGATAGAAAAAAAAAGAGTTCTAAAAAATAGTTGAGTTTTGGGGGACGGGAAAAACAACTTCGCGAGAGCATAATTCCGTCAGTTTTTCCCTCAAAAATTTTGTTTTTTTTGGGGTCATTACAATGGGGAAAAAATTCTCTACATTTCATAAGAAAAAAAAAAATTTTTTTTTTTAAAATTTTTCGACACCAGGGAACCTTGGATTGGGGTTAAACAAAATGCTATATTAATTTTTTTAAAAATTTAATGCGCCTCAGTGATTATTATTGTGTTATCATTATTAATATGGCATCAAGACCAATTACTCTTAATGAGTGGCTCTGAGACAGACAGACAGAAAGACAGACACAGGTAGACAGAAAGACACACAGGTAGACAGAAAGACAGATACACAGGCAGACAGAAAGACAGACACACAGGTAGACAGAAAAACATGACACACAGGTAGACAGAAAAAATGACACACAGGTAGACAAAGACAGACACACTGGTAGACAGAAAGACACACAGGTAAACAGAAAGACACACACAGGTAGACAGAAAGACAGACACACACAGGTAGACACACACACACAGGTAGACAAAGACACATAAGTAGACAGACAGGTAGACAAAGACAGATACAGGTAGACAAAGACAGACACACAGGTAGACAGAAAGACAGGTACACAGGTAGACAGACAGATAAACAGACACACAGAGATACAGACAGACACAGATATACAGGCAGACAAATACAGACAGGTTTATGTGCAACAGTGAAAACAAATAGAGAGTTCGAGAGTAAGAGCCTTTTTTGCCACAATCTCCAGTGCAAGATTCAGACTTCATCTTAGGGGCCATGGTGAAATTTACTGTCCAGTTAGTACAGTTAATACAGTATGATGCTGCTGATAGGACAGGGTTACTCAAACTGATGCTGCCTGCATGTCGCATTGCTGCCGCGAGTATCGTCAAATATTATACAGCGGTGTGCATCAGCCGGCCCAGCCCAGTTGCCAGATGCACGGTCATAAGTCGAGTGGACGTATGTCGAGCAGGTTGTAACTCGGATGGTAGGTGTAATACAGTGAGGACAGTCATTTTTTAAATCATATTAAAATCAGATGTATGTTAGTGGTGAGAGAGTGCAAAAGGAGAGCGGATGATAGCGTGGGAGAGGTACTGTCAAGAAATTTTAATGAAAATAAGAAGAAATTTTGGAGTGAGTTAAACAAGTTAAGAAAGCCTAGGGAACAAATGGATTTGTCAGTTAAAAACAGAGTAGGGGAGTTAGTAGATGGGGAGATGGAGGTTTTGGGTAGATGCCGAGAATATTTTGAGGAACTTTTAAATGTTGATGAAGAAAGGGAGGCGGTAATTTCACGCACTGGCCAGGGAGGTATATCATCTTTTAAGAGTGAAGAAGAGCAGGATGTGAGTGTGGGGGAGGTGCGTGAGGCATTACGTAGAATGAAAGGGGGTAAAGCAGCTGGAACTGATGGGATCATGACAGAAATGTTAAAAGCTGGGGGAGACAAAGTGTTGGAGTGGTTGGTATTTTTGTTTAATAAATGTATGAAAGAGGGGAAGGTACCTAGGGATTGGTGGAGAGCGTGTATAGTCCCTTTATATAAAGGTTAGGGGGACAAAAGAGATTGTAAAAATTATAGAGGAATAAATATACTGAGTATACCAGGAAAAGTGTACGGTAGGGTTGTTATTGAAAGAATTAGAGGTAAGACAGAATGTAGAATTGCGGATGAGCAAGGAGGTTTTAGAGTGGGTAGGGGATGTTTAGATCAAGTGTTTACATTGAGGCATATATGTGAGCAGTATTTAGATAAAGGTAGGGAAGCTTTTATTGCATTTATGGATTTAGAAAAGGCATATGATAAAGTATGGAGAGTAAAAGAAAGGTGAAGAGAGTGGTGAAAGAGTGCAAAAGGAGAGCAGATGATAGAGTGGGAGAGGCACTGTCAAGAAATTTTAATGAAAATAAGAAAAAAATTTGGAGTTAAACAAGTTAAGAAAGCCTAGGGAACAAATGGATTTGTCAGTTAAAAACAGAGTAGGGGAGTTAGTAGATGGGGAGAGGGAGGTTTTGGGTAGATGGCAAGAATATTTTGAGGAACTTTTAAATGTCAACGAAGAAAGGGAGGTGGTAATTTCATGCACCTAGAGACTGGCGGAGAGCATGTATAGTCCCTTTATATAAAGGGAAGGGGGACAAAAGAGATTGTAAAAATTATAGAGGAACAAGTTTATTGAGTATACCAGGGAAAGTGTACGGTAGGGTTATAATTGAAAGAATTATAGGTAAGACAGAACATAGGATTGCAGATGAGCAAGGAGGTTTTAGAGTAGGTAGGGGATGTGTAGATCAAGTGTTTACATTGAAGCATATATGTGAACAGTATTTAGATAAAGGTAGGGAAGTTTTTATTGCATTTATGGATTTAGAAAAGGCATATGACAGAGTGGCTAGGGAAGCAATGTGGCAGATGTTGCAAGTATATGGAATAGGTGGTAAGTTACTAAATGCTGTAAAGAGTTTTTATGAGGATAGTGAGGCTCAGGTTGGGTGTGTAGAAGAGAGGGAGACTACTTCCCAGTAAAAGTAGGTCTTAGACAGGGATGTGTAATGTCACCATGGTTGTTTAATATATTTATAGATGGGGTTGTAAAAGAAGTAAATGCTAGGGTGTTCAGGAGAGGGGTGGGATTAAATTGTGGGGAATTAAATACAAAATGGGAAGTGACACAGTTACATTTTTGCTGATGGTACTGTGCTTATGGGAGATTCTAAAGAAAAATTGCAAACGTTAGTGGACGAATTTGGGAGTGTGTAAAGGTAGAAAGTTGAAAGTGAACATAGAAAAGAGTAAGGTGATGAGAGAATCAAATGATTTAGATAAAGAAAAATTGGATATCAAATTGGGGAGGAGGAGTATGGAAGAAGTGAATATTTTCAGATATCTGGGAGTTGACGTGTCAGCGGATGGATTTATGAAGGATGAGGTTAATCATAGAATTGATGAGGGAAAAAAGGCGAGTGGTGCATTGAGGTATATGTGGAGGCAAAAAATGTTATCTATGGAGGCAAAGAAGGGAATGTATGAAAGTATAGTAGTACCAACACTCTTACATGGGTGTGAAGCTTGGGTTGTAAATGCTGCAGCGAGGAGGTGTTTGGAGGCAGTGGAGATGTCCTGTCTAAGGGCACTTTGTGGTGTAAATATTATGCAGAAAATTCGGAGTGTGGAAATTAGGAGGTGTGGAGTTAATAAAAGTATTAGTCAGAGGGATGAAGAGGGTTTGAGGTGGTTTGGTCATTTAGAGAGAATGGATCAAAATAGAATGACATGGAGAGCGTATAAATCTGTAGGGGAATGAAGGCGGGGTAGGGGTCATCCTCAAAAAGGTTGGAGGGAGGGGGTAAAGGAGGTGTTGTGGGCGAGGGGTTTGGACTTCCAGCAAGCGTGCGTGAGCGTGTTAGATAGGAGTGAATGGAGACAAATGGTATTTGGGACCTGATGATCTGTTGGAGTGTGAGCAGGGTAATATTTAGTGAAGGGATTCAGGGAAACCGGTTATTTTATATAACCGGACTTGAGCCCTGGAAATGGGAAGTACAATGTCTGCACTCTAAAGGAGGGGTTTGGGATATTGGCAGTTTGGAGAGATATATTGTGTATTTTTATACGTATATACTTTCTAAACTGTTCTATTCTGGGCACCTCTGCAAAAACAGTGATTATGTGTGAGGTTAAAGTGTTGAATGACAATGAAAGTATTTTCTTTTTGGGGATTTTCTTTCTCTTTGGGTCACCCTGCCTCGGTGGGTGATGGATGACTTGTTGAAGAAGAAAGAAGAAAAAAAAAAGTATGTTAGTAAACAGCGACTGCTCAGGGAGGTACTATCGTCCTACCAAGTGAGTGTAAAATGAAAGTTTGTACTTATTTTACATGATGGTAGGGTTGCTGGTGTTTTTTTTTTTTTTTGTTTCATAAACATGCAAGATTTCAGGTACATCTTGCTACTTCTACGTACACTTAGGTCACACTACACATGCATGTACAAGCGTATACGTATATATACACCCTCTGGGTTTTCTTTTTTTCTTACTAATTCTTGTTCTTGTTTATTTCCTATTTCCATGGGGAAGTGGAACAATTCTTCCTCTGTAAATCATGCGTTCACAAGAGGCAACTAAAATGCTGGGAGCAAGGAGCTAGTAAACCCTTCTCCTGTATGCATTACGAAAGTTAAAAAGAGAAACTTGTTCTTTTTGGACCACCCTGCCTCGGTGGGATATGGCTGGTTTGTTGAAAGAAGATTAAAATCAGATTTTTGGTATGTGTGTTTGTGATTGCTGTTATATTTTCCTGCATTAAATAAAGGGCTAGAGAAAATCCAGAGTATTGTGGTGTTGATATTCACAAATTAGGAAAAAATAAGACTATAATACCACAAAATCTTTTAATCTGAGAGGCAAAGTGAAATACAGTTTAGTATACAAGTGTATATTGGTAGATTATCTAACAAAAATACACTGCCAGAAGTCACTCAATGGGCTGTACACTGCCAGCAGTCACTAATGAGCATTACACTGCAGGAGTCACTAATAAGCAGTACACTGCTAGAGGTTTCTAATAAGCAGTACAGTGCCAGTAGTCACTAATGAGCAGTACACTGCCAGGAGTCACTAATGAGCAGTACACTGCCAGGTGCCACTAACAATCACCAAATGATAGTGACATGAATCATGAAGAGTGCTTTTCAAAGAATCATGATTATATTGACATTATATAGTCAACTACAAAGGCAGCACAATGCCACAGTTCATTACAGTCACTTTACTGACATTCCTGAGTTTGGCTATTGCCTTCACCACATCTAAGCCACTTTCCACCTTACCAAAAATTTTTCCATCTGTATTCCCACCAGCACGGGTGGTGATGTGGAACAGGATACCAGTGCGAGGGAGGTACCATACATCTCCTGCACTGGGCGTATCGCAGGCAAAACCACCGAAGTCCATGGGCAGTTCTTGGCTTATAAAGCCATCCCAATCAGTGTACTCTCCACCAACCACGTACTCCCCTGGCTCACCCTTTCCAACCACAGATGTAAGTTTAGCGTTGCAGAAGGTGTAACCTTCATGCCCTGTACACATATTCTTAAATATTTTGCTCATAGAAGACTTGAGTCTTAGCTGAATGTAAACTCGTGCGTTTTTTACCTTTTTATACCCAAGGTCAAGAAATGTCACGACAGAGGACTGGTCCAGCATTTTCACAACATCTTCGTGCTGTGTAAAATCAAATAAATTATGTTTATAAAAAGATAGCAAAAGGAGAGTTCTTTATTACAGTATTTTGCATACATGAGGCTTGATCACCTACATGCTGACCATGCCACTCTCCAACCAAAATAAATCACTAAGCAAACTGCATTTGCATTCATAAAAAAAGTTCATAATTTCAGATTTGTAAGTTTAATAGTCACCTGGATTGTGTGGGCATCAATGGGCAGTGGCAGCTTCTGGAGTGTGTACAAGCACAGCTTTCCCTTTTCTAAAGTTATTCTAGCATAGTAATTCATGGTCTCAGTTTGGTGGACAGCAAACACCTGGTGATTCTTCACTAGTGCCTTGAAAGGTTCACTCATTACTCGTAGATGCTCAACCTGTGGACAGTGTCAGCATTATTACCATCTGTGGACAATGTAAGCATTATTATCATGTGCAGACAGTGTCGACTCCATTATCACTAGTGTCAACCCCATAATGACCTGTAGTGTCATATGTGGACAGTGTCAGCTCCTTTAGCACCTGTTGAAATGGTCAGTCTCACTATCACTTCTGGATAGTATCCATACCATTATTACTTGTGTTACTAGCCCCATTATTACCTACTGTATCTTACCCATTATTACCTGTAGTATCAACCCCATTACTGCCTTGTGTACTAATTTTTATTTTGTTAACACATTGGCTGTTTTCCACCAAGGCAGGGTGGCCTGGAAAAAGAAGAACAATCATTATCATTCACTCCATCACTGTCTTGCCAGAGGTGTGCTTACACTACAGTTATAAAACTGCAACATTAACACCCCTGCCTAGTGTATCTTACTCATTATTACCTGTACTATCAGCCCTATTATTATCTGTGGACAGTGTCAGCCCCATGAATCTCATTATCATCTGTTGACAACAACCCAGTTATGACCTACAGACAGTGTCACCCCATTTTAACCTGTAAATAACATCAGCCTCACTAAAGCATGGCCATAGTCAGATATATAATAACTTGTGTATAATGTCAATTTCATTATGAGCAAAAACTGCCACCCCAGTTACCTTCTGGACCATCTAATCTTTTTACAGTCTTTAAAGAGAGAAAATCACTGTGTGAAAAATGTTACCTCATTCACACCTGTTGACAGAAACAGAATCATTATTGCTTGTGACAAATGTCCACTTTATCAACATGTCAGTATCAGTCAGTGTTTTACAACATATGCAAAATATTACAGCATATTTAAGAAGAATCTGCCTAGCATGGATCAGTAGACCTACTGTGGCACTCCTCCTTATGTTCTTACAATGTTATCATCTACAAACAGTAACTGCTCCCCATCATTATCCATTGTTGGTGTCTCATTACCACTAGGAACACACTGTCATTATTACAAGATGACAGTTCTGGCCCTATTACAATTACTGTCATATTTGCAAGGAAGCAATACATTAAACTAAATGTAATAAAGCAGCCAACAGCAGTAAAAAATAACTTATCCTCATGACACCAGTGGGCAACTTTTAACATACTTGCTCTAGTCGACTTCCCTGCATACCTTATTTAGGTAGGTTAACATTAACCAAATGCAACCAAATATGAAGAAACACCAATAAATGTATGAAAGTGAGAGCATGTTTTAATGAGCAAAGAAAAAATGGGGACTCATTTTCTGTGATAAATAAGAACCAAGTAAAAAGCTAGTTGCTTTACCCATATTCTGGGGCCATTCATGCTAACAGCTACTTTTCCAATATTTTTGAGCCACTCATGTTAAAAGTGCTCTATCAATATTGTGATTAAATAAAAACCTGGCATTATAAAGCTTTTTCATTTTCCATCCCACTCTTATCTATTGCCTTTTAATTACTGTATTAAAGTATGCAAACATTTCTGTATGGACTTACCCGTGTAAATTTCTGTATTTTAATTTCCTTATGCATTTCTAATAATGTTTTTCATGAATGTAGTACTGGCATTTGGGTACAAACTCATACTCACTGATACTTGGTACACAACACCATACCAACTGACACTTGTAGACAACACCATACATGAAAAATCTATGTAAATTATAGTGCTAAAGTTACCAGCCAGATTTATATTTCAAAGAAAGATGAGTGCAGATGACCTCACACTTTCACTCAACTCCTTGAAGTGTTTACAGTAACTGTTTGAACTTTCTCCATGAGTGTGCAGCCCAGGTTCTCAAACTTTCCTCCATTTTGGGTTACCCATATCTATGGACACCCTCTTTAGCCTTCTTTTATGTTCTCCTGAACCTGTCATTAGAAATACAAACTTTAATGGGGAATCTGTTTTTCCCCAGATGAACAAAAGCAGGCCACATAAGATCTTAAATACAAAAATAAAACTTTCAGCTTTAGGGAACTTCGTTTTTTTTATCCCCTAAACAAGGATTTGCATGATGCTTTTCAGATTTTTTCTTCCTGCAAGATTTACATGTTATAACTTGAGAACACCTTTTTTGATCTATTTTAAACAAACTTCATTTTAAAAAAGTACATAATTGTTACAATATTCATTGAAAAATATAGCCCATGCATTTCAGAAAAGCCCAAAATTATGCAAAGTGGAGGATGAGAAGGATGAGGGGAGGGGGGTGGGGGTGGAATTAAGTATTAGATCTCTGTAAAAAATGTGAAATTGCTGCACACTAACAGCACCTTTCAAGGCAGGTGAAATTGCTGACCCAGAAAATGTACAGAGAACCTTCACTGCACACACACAAGTGATAAAACACCTCAATTACTGGGAACGCTTGAAGTTCCTCAACCTGTACTCCATAGAATGCAGGAGGGAGAGATATACTTGGAAAATCCTAGAGGGATTAGTACCTAACTTGCACACGAAAATCACTCCGTATGCAACATCCCCCCCATGAAAAGCAGGAGTGCCACTAGTGCGATAAGAAACAACACAATAAGTGTCGGCTCCCAAGACTGTTCGACTGCCTCCCAGCATACATAAGGGGGATTACCAATAGGCCCCTGGCTGTCAAGAAGGCACTGGACAGGCACCTAAAGTCAGTACCTGACCAGCTGGGCTGTGGTTTGTACGTTGGGCTGCGTGCAGCCAACAGTAACAGCCTGGCTGATCAAGCCCTGATCCACCATGAGACCTGGTCACAGACCAGGCTGCGGGGGCATTGACCCCCTCTTATCAACATACCTTTACTGAGGTGTGTATGGCATCGACCTCTGGAAAGAGCTCCTGGTACCTTTGGAGCCACTTTTCTACCTTTTCATTATAATGATCAGCTTCATCTATGGATGTAAAAAATTGGTGTGAAGAGGTACCAGTGCCAAGGGACCCCAAATTGTCTTGTAGTTTCTGTAGTCTCTCCTTTCCTTCTGTTATCATATGCATCACCCTTATATCCTCAGGTTCCAAGAGTCCTATTGCTCTTGAGTTGTGCTCTACCATTTTCTCCTGGAGTTGGTGGTGCTGAATCTTACACTTCTTTAAATGCTCTTGGTATTTAACAAGCTGGGACAACACTTCTTTACAGCTGGTAATCAGACTGCCAATAGTACCCTTCTGTTTCCGCACCAAGGGCAGAATCTTCCTTACCGTACCTTTTTTGCAGACCTTATAACGTTTTTTTGACACCTTTCCTTCTGCCTTAAAAGGAGTATCTTTGTGTTTATTTATAAGCATCTCCAAACTGAAGTTGACTGAGAAGTCCCTGGCAGTTATGGCATTATGCTTGGTGCGGCAAATAGGGCAGGAGAGCTGAGTCCTCTTTATTGCAGTACTAATACATCTGGAGCAAACTGTGTGGCCACAAGGCAGACAACGTGGACGTCTCAGATCTTGGTCATAATTGTCAACACAAACCTGACATTCCTCAGGGTGGCAGTCCTCCTGTGGAGAGCATTAGACAGTTAATTACGTTGTTTACTAAATATTTATTGTATTTTTATTCTTATTTTTATTGTTAATTTTTTAACAGCAGTGATCTCAGTAATGTACAGTGTTCAAATAATACAGCCTCTCCTCACTGAACAACGGAATTCCGTTGCTGAGACCACGTCAGTAAACAAATTTGTTGCTAAGTGAGCAGCATACTATAATGGTAGGGAGTTTGTGTCAACCATCTTTGATATTTTTTAATGTCATCTTTGCACCATTTATAACATTACTGGTATATTTTCAAATGTTTATACAGTAATGTACCGTATATTGAAATGAACAGAATAGAAGAAATCAGTACGTCGCTAAGTGAGGAGAGGTACGTATTGTATTCAAACATAAAAAATAAGTGTAGAAATTTCAAGAATGGGCAAATATTTTTTGTACAGTATTTACCAGCACACAAAATGCTGATGACAGGAATGAAATTATTTGTACAATACTATCAATTGATATTACTTACTAAAATTAATAATTATCATTTTTACTATAATTTCAATTTACTCTTAACATTTTTGACATTTAATAACCATTACTTGTCTAATTACCTTTACCTGTTTTAATACCACATTTACTATCTTAGAGTACTCTTAATTACCTTGTGCTGCCATATAACCTCTAGTATAACTACCAGTGCAATATTGAATGAAATAAACATTACTTTTTCACTTTTTTGTAATCATTATTACTTACTAAAATTTTATTAATCACCATATTTACTACCAGTCAATTTTACTTTTGTACATTAAACATTATTTTATACTCCCATAACATTTTGTTGCCAAATTTTCAAGTTTGTATATTCAACTCCAACCTTTATATTATCCTTTGTACCTGTGTACCTGTCTACCATCTTACTATCATATTATAACCAAGACATTACCCTTGTTATTTTTTACTATTATTCTTTTGGTACTTTAATTGTGAATTATATTTTGTCAATTTAAATCTAGTTATACTCCTGATCTTGTCAACAACCTATACCAGACTTTAGTGCAATTGCAAGTACCATTTCAATTTGTATTTTTATATTATAAGTTTATATTATAATTCCTACTCTAAGATTGTTTTCATATCTTAGTGACTATATTGTGTGTGCAATTAGTGTATATTTCAATTATATTATTGTTCAAGACCCTTAACTATCTTTTGCTAACTAGTACCAACTACCTTATATATTTTTTTTTTCTACTTTTTTTATTCTTTTGCTACCTTAACTTGTATATTTTATCTTGTCAATTTAAATCTAGTTATACTCTAATTCTTGTAAACAACTTATATAACACCTTAGTGCAATTAAAATTGAGAGTCTTGTGCCTTTTTTATATTAGATTAAACTCAGTTGTACTATAGTCAATACCAAATTCATTATATTAGACCATATTGCAATTACTAGTGAGAGACTGGTGCAATTTTTAATTTTGTTTTGTTATATTATTAGATTAAATCTAGTTGTACAAATAGCTCATTCTAGCTCAAAACATAGACTCCACAAAAGTATTAATTAGACCTTAGTGCAATTATTTGATTACCATTTTATTGTTCACCACAACTTATATTAGTCCCTTTTATATTATAATTTTAATTATAATTCTAACTTTAAAAAATTACCTTTAAAGTACTACCTACAATCATATTCCCAAGCTCCATTATTTGATCATCACTTTATTTGTTCACCCCCAAATTATTTTAGCCCTTTTATATGTCTCCATTATTTTAGCTTTAAAAAACTACCTTAGCTCATTATTTTTACATTTGTTAAATAATTCAGGTGCTATTTTTTAGCTTTAGAATATTTACTTTGTTTTATACTTAATTCTAACTACAGATTCACTACAAATCTTATGATTACAAGCATTGATCCTGATACCAACCTCTTATTTAATGACTTAAATGATTCAAACAGTTACTGTAATTACTACACAGCAGAACAATCAAAGGCACTTCTCAGAGCAACAACAACATAACTATCTTTAACTACAAAAATCAATCTTTAAGCAAGGGATTACGATGACCTCCTAGCATTTCTAAATTCCTTGCATGCCAATATGTCCATCATTACACTAACTGAAAACCCGGCTAAAGCCTGATACTAAAAGATGTCTATGCCATTCCTGGTTACACACCATACACAACGTAGGCCAGACCAACAAGCCATATACTACTCAGACCAACTAGAATGTATCACTAATACTTGCACAAGGATGAACATGGGGAATATATAATAGCTAAATTCAAATCCAAATACCTACAAAAACCTCACAGTGATAAACATCTACAGAGTTCCACAATCAAACATTAGCCAATTTATCAAAACCTAGGAAGTATGAAAACTGATGCAAAGCATGAACAAAGATCACTTACTACTCTCAGGTGACTTCGATATAAATCTCCTGCAAGACCAGGACCCACACGTTACTGAATTCACAAACACAATGAGTAACTGCATGTTGCTACCAACAGTAACAAAACCTACAAGAGTTACGGAGACTAGTGTTTTTCCCCACTTGACCACATCTGGGCCAAAACCATATCCCCTTTAAAAAACAGGCATAATTACAGATAATACCACAGACCACTACCCTACTTTCCTCATAACAATCTTTAAAATACCCCAAGACACACTAAAGTCCCCTTTCACACTTCACAATGAGGCAGCCTTTAAATAATTCCAACAGCAGTAACAACTTTGACGGGCACACTGAGCTAGAAATCTATACAGATTTTGACGAATGTTTTAATAATTTTCAAAAAAAGACCCAAACCTCTAAACAAGCACTGCCCAAAAAACTAAACAGATACAGCAAAGACGAACAGTCCCTGGCTAACCCCCAGCATTCTCAAAATCCATAAATACAAAACACCGATATAAAAAAACATACAGAATGGGTCCAAACCCGAGACCAAACAAAAAGTTACCCTCAATCCTAACCACCTATAAGAAGGGCAAAAAAACGTATTATGAGAACAAATCCAACTTACGAGTGATATAAAAAGACCTGGAAGACCCTATCAAAATTCTGGGAACAAAAAGTATCACGAAATAGCGAAAAAAATTAGCAAAATCAATAAACCCCCCCAACCCCCCACCAACAAAAACAGCAAAAAAAACCAATGTTTTCTCCACTATAGGACAAAACCTTGCCAATAAAATCCCAAGCTCAGATACCCCACCAAATGACTACCTCACTGGCAACTACCCGAACACACTGTTCCTAGCTCCGACTAACCCAAAACAAGTCCTCCCTTATTATCAACGCACTAAAAAACAAGGCAGGAGATTTAAATACCTTACCACCCTTTATATACAAAAAAGTGTCACAAGTACTATCGCCAATCATTGCAACACTCTTTAACAAATCCATTGAATCCTCCACCTTCCCTACACTCTCAAAATAGCAAGGGTCACCCCGATCCATAAAGAAGGAGACCAAACAGAGTTGAAAAACTATAGGCCAAATATCCAATTTACACCCTCTCTCAAAAATCTTCGAAAAATTAATTCATAAACGAATCAACTCCTACCTCATCTCCCAAAACATTCTCAACCCCTGCCAATTTGGATTCAGGCCTAAAAAAAATTTACTAATAATGCTATTATACACATGCTAGAACATATATACACTGCAATAGAGAAAAAAGAAGTCCCACTGGGGATCTTCATTGACTTACGTAAAGCTTTTGATACAGTTGACCATGACTTGCTTCCACGTAAAATTGTCACACATGGTATTAGAGGGCACTCCCTTAACTACCTCAAGTCATACCTCAACAACAGAAGCCAATATGTGTATGCAAATGGGGCCAAGCTCTTCCGCTCAACCAATTACAGTTGGGTCCCACGGGGAAGTGTCCTTGGCCCCTTCTCTTCTCCATACATAAATGACCTACCAAATGCTTCGCAATTACTCAAACCACACTTTTTGCAGATGACACTACATACGTCTTCTCTCAACCCGAGCCCAGTCACGCTAGCCAATACTGTAAACACCGAATTACAGAAAATATCTCCCGGGATGAGGACTAAAAAACTTACACTAAACATTGACAAAACCTACTTCTTTCAGTTTGGTAACAGAGCTACAGATGTACCTCTTAACAAAACGATAAACAGATCACCTATCACAAATTCTTAGGAATCCCACCTTGATAATAACTCAAATTTCATACACATATACAACAAATTTCTAAGAAAATTTCCAAGACTGTAGGCATACTATCGAAGATACGGTACTATGTTCCACATTCACCCTCCTGGCCCTTATCACTCTCTTATTTACCCCTATCTCACCTATGGATTTGTGCATGGGCTCAACAACAATTAACCATCTCAGACCACTAATTACCCAACAAAAGCTGCATTAGAATAACAAATTCTCACTACAGGCACACACTCCACCAATATTCAAAACACTCAACCTACTCACCATACAAAACATCCATACTTATTACTGCACCTATTACATACATAGAACACTTAACTCTGATATTAACCCCCCCTCAAACATCTCCTTGCCAACCTCAACAAAAACATGACCATAACACAAGGCACAGATCACTCTTTGATGTTCCTCGTGTCCATCTCATTTCTATGCAAAAACTCAATGCACATAAAGGCCTAAAATCTGGGAAATTTATTACCTGTAAATATAAAAGAAAAAACTACTGTTTTTTAAAAATTTAAGTCTCTTCTCAAAAATCACTTACTCAAAACAAATAAATACTGAATAACTGAACCTTATAAATTGTATATCCTATATGTTACTCACAACTATATCACACAAATGTTAAACCTAGGACCCAATCTAACTTTGTTATTTTTTTAAATACACCCACCTAAAGAATACTCCATTCGACTGAATGTACAGCAATGAATGCAACCATATGACCTGTCTTTTTAATACTCATTTGTGCTTATAGTTATCTGTTTTACAATAAATGTTTACACTGATTTCATCATTGCTTAGTTAATCTTAAGTTAAATTTTAAGCCAGCCCGTAAGCTATGCATATAAGTGGCTTTGGCATGCTGCTTTACATGTATTTTTTGTACCTCTGTATGTATGCTTAAATTACTAAATAAATAAATAAATAAATAAATAAATAAATAAATAAATAAAATAAATAAATACTTACTTACCAAAGACATGAGACAATTATAGTAACAGTATAAAAAAAAATATTTACAACATACTAATTGTTTTACCACTGTCAGGAAGGAATCACAACAATTTCTTCCTTCTTCTCACGAATGTACTATAAATGCAAAATATTGTCTTCCCCATCACCAGTGAAAATAACAGTATGTGTTAATATTTCCTCTTACCATCTTAGTGTGTAGTGAAATCAGCTTGGTCCACTTTTGATATTTCTTTGGTGATGTTGATAAATACTCTGCCGAAAATGATAAATATAAAAAAGATTCCCTATATCCCTGAAAAATTTATATGCAATTAGTTTTTTAAAATGCAAAAGACTGGTGGGAAAACTCCCCCTTAAACACGCGAGGGTCTGGTCGTTTCTCTTTTAAAGGGGTGGAAAAAATTGGACATCTTTCCTTAACCGGTTGTCCATTTCACCCTCATTAAAAAGGGTACCTGGTGTTAAGGACTGTCGTGGGTCGCATCATGGGACAAACTGACCTAATTTGCCCAAAATACCTGCAACCAAGCGCTTTCTATATATATATGTCATTGATGCCCAGCTAGGCCTGTATACCTTGACATAACTTGTAGTAATATAGTTTTACAACAATGGGGGAGGGGAGGGTGATCATTTTGATTCAAGAGGAGAGCATTATAATTCCTTGAACCAAAGGCCACCCTTAAATGGTAATGGCTTTGTATGGTTAAATGGGCCCTCATTTTACTCAGCACCAAATTTGAAGTTCCCTATCTTATCTTCCGAGATTGTTTCAGCCTAGAAAGTGTTCCAAATAACGGGGAAGACAAATCTTTTTAGAATACTGAAAAAGGGCCCGAATTACAGAAAATATCACCTGGATGAGGCTACAAACTTAACTAACATTGACAAAACCTACTTATTCAGTTTGGTAGAGAGCTACAATGTACCTCTTAACATAACGATAAACGGAAATCACCTACAAAAGCAACAGAGGGAAATTCTTGGAATCACCCTCGATATAACTCAAATTTTCATACACATATACAAAATTTCTAAGAATTTTTCCCCCCAAGACTGTAGGCATACTATCGAAGATACGGTACTATGTTCCACATCAGCCCTCCTGGCCCTTTAACACTTCTTATTTACCCTATCTCATAGGGAATTTGGCATGGGCCAACAAAAACTAACCATCTCACCACTAATTACCCAAAAAAGGCTCCCAGTTAGATGATAACAAATTCTCACTACGGGGCAGCACACTCCACCAATTTTCAAAACACCAACCCTACTCACCATACAAAACATCCATACTTTTACTGCACCTATTACATACATAGAACACTTAACTCTGATATTAACCCTCCCTCAACATCTCCTTGCCAACCTCAACAGACACATGACCATAATACAAAGGCACAGTCACCCTTTGATTTTTCCTCGTGTCCACCTCTTCAAGGGGGCTCCTTGGCGGTAAGAGCTTTTTGGTCTGAGGAATTAGCCCTGTCGGTCTTCTTCCTCAGACCGAACCTAATTACCCCCCATTCTCCCCTCCCTATCCATCCTCCCCATCCCCCTTTTTCCATTCCTCTCCTCCCCCTCACCCTCCCTTTTGCCTTCCTCTTTTAGCCTTCGTATTCCCCACAGGCGCGCTATTCCTAGTAGGGAAAGACCCCGGGGTCGATCCCCTTCCGTTGAGGTTCTTGGCGGTGGCTATTTTGCCGGGGAATCGGGATTGCCTAGGAGTCCCCGATCCCTCCCCCGGGTATCCCGATAGCTTTCGGTGTCCTTTTGGGCGACGGTGATCTCGGAAAGCCACCTTTCGGATTCCGGGGTGGTGGCTGAAGGAGGTATGCTTTGTGCGGAATCCCGCCCTCTCTTTTGTCCACCGAGGTACTGGGCAGATTTTGGTTGCTATCCCGGATTGCTGGTTTACTGGCAAAGGGTAGGGTATGGCCGGTCCATGCTGCATCTGCCTACAGCGGTGTCCTCCTTTTGGGGGCGGGGGAGATTTCGGCCCTTTCATTCCTCCTGGAATTTTCCCCCCGCTCCCCCCTTTTTTATTCTTTTTTTTGTTTTTATTTTCTTTCTTCTTTCTTTTTTTTTCTTAAAACAAAAGCAAAGGAGTAACCTAACCATGCGGGCCCTAGTCCATGAAACACTCCCCCCGGGGCCCCCCCTTAAATACCGCAACCCCATTCGACCCTGCCTTGTTTAACCACTCTTGACACTCTATGCCCCTGTACCCCCTTGCTGGTGCTGTTTCCCCCCCTTCAGGACCGGGGCTTCGATTTGACCCCTTTCGATTTGTCTGAACTCCGCCTCCATTGACTATGCTTCCGCTTCCCCTCTACGGTACGGCAATTTTCAATGCCCACACCATTTCATGCCGGACCAACTCCGGTCCTACCCTAAACGCCAACGTCAACCCTCCTGATGATGCTCCGCTTACCTTCCCATTCTACTGGGAAAGGGACCGACCTCAAGCACTCCTTTTCCACGCTCATTTCGGACCACACAATGGACTAAATTCTTTACTTTAAGACCAACTTCTTCTTTCGCCTCCCTTCCGACCATAGTATTGCCAAAGCGCCTTCCTGCGTCAAGTTGGCAGAGATATTTCTTTCACCCTTCAGAGCGTAGGGCGCATCGTCACTGCCCAGAATGCTCCCCAAGCTAAATGATCTTTCTCTCCTTTCGAATATCTACTACTCCTATCACTATTGAAAAACATCTTTCCCCAATTTTTGTTGTGTAAGTCAATCCTGCCCCATACCATAGTCCAACAGAATTTCCGCCCAATGTGGAAATGAATTTTGAACACCCGGAACTCCAGGATCCCCAATCCTCAAAGTAAATTTTATGCCTCCTGCGGGGCGGAGCCCGTTACCCTTGAAAATGTTGGCTCGTTTAATTTTGACAGCCGAGAACTCCCGTCCTCTGTATATGCGCGGACATGGGTTACAAGTTCGAAAGGTGATCCCTTTACACCGAAACCCAATTAAAAATTGCTGGCGTTTTGGTCACCCAGCGAAATATTGGTTTATGGCCGAATGCCCAGTTTGGTTTGCCCGACAACCACCCCTAAAAACATCTGCAGTCAACCCCATCTTGCCTAATTGTAAGAAGCTCCCCCTTCGTACCCCGCCTTGCCAGTCTACTTAAATGAAGTAAAATCCGTTGCCTCAAAACAGAAGGTCTCCCCTTGCTATGCAGTTACTCATCCCGCCTCCAAGGGAGCAACCCCGTGTTTCTTTATTCTCTGTGTTCCAAACATCCCCCCACTCTGGGGTCCCATTTCTGCAGCCCCTCCTCGTTTACCCTCCCATAGCCATTAACGGCATCTACCCTTTTGCTGCCCTTTGGGCCCTTCTACGTCCCGACTACAACTCAGTCTGTTCCACATCTTCGCGTCCTCCTCACAAGCCCCAGTAGACAAGACCTCGTACTACACCTAATACCAACGCCCCTCTACCAGAATCCCCCCCAAAACAATTGCTCAAATCTTCTTTTGCCCCTTCCTTCCCTTCTTTCCACCTCCACACTTACCTTTCCAGTCTTGTACCTAGTTCTTCCCCTCTCCTTGGCTCTATTACAAGTTGGAATTCACCCTCCTCCTCGTCTATGCTTCCACCCCCGTCCCCTTCCCAAGTTTCTCCCTCTTCTGTCACCTCCCAGGTTTCTACCTCTTCTGTCCCCCCCCACACTTCATCTCCATCCCTTACACTTTTCCCTCCCCCTCTACTTTGTACAGTCCATTACTGTCCCAATCCTTTACTCCCCCTCCCCCCCTATCTCCAATTGGTTTCCCATACATCTTTGAATTCAGAAACATTTGAAGCCATTTTAGAATATATCGAGACAAACCCTTTTCAATGGACACTGATCACTTCCTTTCCTTCTCTTTCCTCTCCTCCATCTCACAAACCCATTTTTTTCGCAACGCTCCTTTCCTTCCTACTTAACATTTTCCAATCCACCACACGTTGACTTTTTCAACCCTCTAGCCCGTAGGTGCCTTTACCTACAGTTCCCGAATTTTCCTTCACGCCAACAGGGCCTATTTACATGGAATATCCGCGGCCTCAGGGAATTTCGGGGGAGCTTCAGATTGTTGCTTTCCGGTTTTCCCCTGTTGGTGCTTGCTTACAAGAACCAAAATTACACTCGGCTGTTTTCCAAACCTATCTCAGGCTATAAATTTTATTGTATTCTTCGGGTCCTTTCTCAGATGGGACCTTTAATGAAAGTGCCCTTCTTCTACGCAATGATATTCCGTACTGTCAACTATTTGTCCATTTCCTCGCTGCATTAACTGCAGCCCGTATCCACTTGAATAAATGGTTTACAATATGTTCTTTATATCTCTCTCCTTCTCGAGCATTTCTATCCAGACTTTGCCTTTCTTGTTTCATCCTTACCCCCACCACTTCTGTTACTTTGGGGATTTTTAAAGCCCACCATTTCCTCTGGGGGGGGTCTCTTGTGACTCACGTGGCATTCAGTTGGAGGCTTTTCTTGCCTCTCCAAAACCCCTCCATGTTTTAAAATACGGGTACTCCACCCATTTTGATCCTCGTACTCATACTCTCTCTTGCATCGATCTATCAGTCCCGCTCTTCCTCCACTGCACTAGACTTCACCTGGTCTGTTCTACCAGACTTACATGACAGCGATCATTTTCCGATCATTTTACTTCTCCTTCCCATTCACCACCTTCCCGTAGCCCTCGCTGGCAATTTTGATCGGGCAAATTGGATCTTTACTCACACCTCCCCTGCTTTTAGTGAGGTTCCTTCTTCATCCTCCATTGATGAGCTCCTACACATCTTCTCGACATCGTTTATAAACCCCAGCTTTTCATTCTATACCCCAAACCTCAGGCAAGGCATTCTCAGAAGTGCGTGGCCTTGGTGGTCTCCTGCTTGTGCTCGTGCAGTACGTTTGAAACGTGCTGCATGGGGCAGGTACCGGTACAATAGAACCGCTGAAGACTTTTGATTTTAGCAGAAGCGTGCGATCGCTCGCCGTGTCATCCGTGAAGCTAAACGCACTTGTTGGCGAGACTATGTTTCCACCATCACCTCTGCTTTTTCTATGAGTGCAGTCTGGAAAAAGTGAGGAAAATTTAGTGGTAAATACTCTCCTGACCCGGCTCCTGTTCTACGGGTCACTGGTGTTGATATAGCAAACCCTCTCGACGTTGCCATTGAACTTGGCACACATCTGGTCCGTATTTCCCGAGGGCTCCATCTATGCCCCTCGTTTCTTTCCTCAAAGTCTGCCAGAGAGTTAGTACCCTTGGACTTTTCTTCTCTCGGAGAAGAACAGTATAATGTGCCTTTTACACTTCAAAAACTGGAGGCAACGCTCTCAGCTTGCCGGATATCGGCAGCTGGGCCTGATGACATTCATATTCGTATGTTACAACATTTACATCGGTCAGCCCTTGTAAGCCTCTTACACCTCTTCAAAACTTAATTGGGCACAAGGAGTTTTTTTCCCCCGCTGTGGAAATCTGCCCTTGTTCCCCTTTCCGCAAACCGGGTCTACAGGACATGATGCCTCCCACTATCCCCCCCCATCGCTCTTACAAGTGCATTTTGCAAAGTGATGGAACGCCTCGTAAATCGACGTTTAATGTGGTATTTAGAGACTCACAACAGTCTCTCCGCTAGTCAATATGGCTTTCGTAAAAGGGTCGTTCTACCATAGACCCCTTACTACGCTTGGATACGTATTTCGTAATGCCTTTTGCGAATAATCACTCAGTTATTGCCATATTTTTTGACCTTGAGAAGGCATATGACACAACTTGGAGGTATAATATTTTGGCCCAGGCCCATTCCTTAGGCCTCCGAGGCAATTACCATCCTTCCTTAAGAACTTTTTAACTGACAGACATTTTCCGTTTCGAGTCAATAATGTTCTTTCCCCGGACTTTCGCCAAGCTGAAGGGTCCCTCAGGGATGTGTTCTAAGCACAACACTTTTTCTCCTTTCTATAAATGATTTGGGCCCCTGTTCTTCCACCCAATATTTGGTCATCACTCTATGTTGATGACTTCGCTATTGCTTGTGCCCGGCGCTGACTGTCACCTTAAATTGCAGTTTCTCTCCAGCATGCGGTCGACCGTGTTTCCACTTGGGCCACCACACATGGGTTTTAAATTTTTAAGTACCAAAACTCACCAAATTACTTTCACTAGACGCTCTGTTATCTCCGATCATCCTTTGTATCTCTATGGCTCCCGTATCCCCCCCAACGTGATACAGTCAGGTTTCTAGGCCTTCTCTTTGACCGTCGGTTAACCTGGAAACCTCACATTACCTCCTGAAGGCAACTTGTCACAGCCGGCTAAACCTTCTTAAAACGCTTGCTCATCTTTCCTGGGGAGCTGATCGTTTGAACTCTGCTTCGCCTACATTCAGCCCTCGTTTATAAAATGAAACTCGATTATGGTGACCAGATTTATTCCGCGGCCTCTCCTGCTACTCTCTCTAGCCTTAACTCTATCCATCACCAAGGCTTACGTTTGTGCCTTGGTGCTTTTCGCCCCTTCCCCTGTTGAGAGCCTCTATACAGAAGCAAAAGTTCCATCCTTGTCTGATCGCCGTGATGCCCATTGCCTTCGTTACTATGTACGCTCTCACGATTCTACACAATCCTTCCATTTTTTAGAATGGTCACCGATATTAGTAGACATTCTTATTCGTTCGCCGCCCCCGTTTGCTCCGTCCCTTTTCTCTTCGCCCACTTTCACTCTTGTCTTCCCTTCAGTTACCACCTTTATAGTTCATGTAGCATCTCAAATTTTCCCCACCCCCCTGGGAAGTTCCAGCTGTTCGGGTCTGTTCTTTCTCACTTCCCTTTCCGAAAGCTCAACTGGGCCCACGGTGGCTTCCCCCCTCTCTTTTCTTGAAACACTTCCACTCTCATTCTCATTTCCACCGCTGTGTACACAGATGGCTCTAAATCTTCAGACGGCGTCGGATTCGCAGCAGTGTTTCCGGACAGCGTCGTACGAGGGCTTTTTCTATCTTCAGCTAGCATTTTTACTGCTGGAAATGTATGCCATTCTTGCAGCATTATTCGTATCGCATCTATGCCTGTGTCATCATTTGTAGTAGTCCCCAGAAATCCCCTTTGTGCTCTACAGGCTATTCGAAAATTTGATACATCTCATCCCCTAGTTCTCCGTATCCAACTTTGGCTACGCCGTATCTCTACCAAACATAAAGATATTGTTTTTTGTTGGGGGCCCTGGTCATGTCGCCGTACAGGGCAAGAACAGGCAGACACTGCTGCGCGGTCAGCAGTATATGACCTACCAATTTCCTATCGAGGTGTTCCATTTCTGGACTATTTTGCTGCAATAGCTACCCACCTTCGCACCCGTTGGCACAACGTTGGTCAACTCTGCTCGGTAACAAACTTCTTCTATTAAAAACCCAGCATAGGTTACTGGCCGTCTTTTGTCATCAGTGCCGAGGTTGGGAGACCACTC